TCTCTTCTCTGTTTTCTTCTGTCATTTGTTGTTGTTGCTTAGATCTTTCAATGGCAACTTGCAGCACGTCTTTTTTCTTCTTTTTTGCCAAGTGGTGTTTTTTTTTTTTTTAATCAGTGTCCTTATTCAGTCCACTGAAATGAAGTGACAGTTCTTAAGATTTAACCTGTATAACTCTTGTTTTTACTTATTAACTTTTTAATTATCTTTAGTTGTACAAAAGGGCTTTAATTAACACATCAGCTTGTAAGTACAATGCATCTTATTTTTACAATTTACTTTTAAGTAGTTGTACAAGGAGGTTTCACTTCAACAAGTCAGACTACAAGTAGAATTCATCTTGATCAATATTGGATCTTGGATCATTTCCTCTCATCTCTCCCAATACCACATATCCCCTCCAGTTACCACATTGCATTTTCACTATGCACATTGATTAATGATGGCTGCATCCACCCATCCTTCCTCTCTCCATTTGTCTCCCCCGCCCCTTGACCTCCCCATTGCCCCCAAAAGCAACACATGTTTCAGCTTCCTAGTATTCTTCTTTTAAAAAATGTAAGTTAGTTGTTCAAAGGAGTTACAACATTGGAATACTCCCCTGATACATAACTTTTAGGCCAAAAGTACTATAGTAGTAGAATCCTTCCAAGAACACTGTGGTACACATGCACACATTCAAGTCTTTCAGAGTTCTGAAAAGGTCAACCTGTCCATTTTTACCTTTAGCATATGGTAATAAAGATTTTTGCTTTTCACTTTGTGAATTTAAAAAAGTAAATATTCTTTGAAATATTCTCAATATGCATATGTATTATATCTATCTGTATGCATATATAATATATTGTTTTTGCCAATTGAACAATAGAATGCTTGATTATTATTTGATAAATGTGATAAAGTGCATATTGTGATTATATTTAATATGTGTTACACATAGTATGGATTATTGACCTAATTACATCTGAGCAAGTATAAGACTGGTCTCATTCATCTTGGTTCATGAGATTAGGAAATGTAGAGCTACTGTTCATGGATATGCATGTATGCAATGTTCATGTATGCAAGATGCTGTCCCTCATTTTTCCATTATTCTGTGTGTGTGTGTGTGTGTGTGTATGTGTGTGTGTATGTGTATGTATGTGCATGCTCTTGAACTTAGGGCCTGGGCACTGTCCCTTAGTTTTTTTCACTCAAAGCTGGTGCTCTACCACTTGAGCCATAGCTCCATGGCCTTTTGGTATAGTTGATTGGAATTCAGAGTCTCATGCTTTTGTCTCTCCAGGCTGGCTTCAAACCTTGCTTCTCAGATTTCAGCCTTCTGAGTAGCTAGGATTCTAGGCATGAGCCACGGGCACCTGACAACGTTTTTTTTTTTTTTTTTGGTTGTTCATGGGACCTGAACTCTGGAGCCTGGGCTCTGTCCCTCAACTCTTCAGCTCAAGGCTAGCTCTCTACCACTTGAGCCACAGCACCACTTTGCGCTTTTTCTGCTTATGTGGTGCTGAGGAATCGAACCCAGGGCCTCATGCATGCAAGGCAAGCACTCTACCACTGAGCCACCTTCCCAGCACTGACAATCTTTTTTTTTTTGTGTTACTTTTATGAGCAGTTCTTTCCTATTAGGAGTGATTACAAAGACAATTCTAAACATTTAAATGGGCAGTGAAGATTGGGGAGTGTGATCTTAACCCTCATTTTGTAATGTAAGCTGTATCAAGGCCAGAGCATATTTGACCTGAAGTCCACAGGGGCTCAGGGGCTCCTTAAGAGGATCCAAAGAGATCATAGACCACATTAAAGTATGACAGATATTGTAGTGTGGGCCTATTTTCTCATGTTTCATCAGAAAGCCAAAGAGTTCTAGAAGGTTAAGAATGCCTTTTTGTTCAACTTCATTGCTGAACAAGACTGTAGTTGTATACAATGTTGTTTTCAAAACACTAGGAAATAAAGTGCTGGGATTGACGTTACAGTACTTCACTCATATACAGTATCTAGCTGGAAACTGATTTCTCCTGAACTTCCTCTAGAAATTTTTTTTAATGTTGATCACAAATCCAGTGTAATCCTGTTCCAGTTACCCTAATTTACATTACAAACCAGTTTGAGAGGCCCAGGAATCTCAGGTGTAATTCTAATCTGGTGTTGACTCTGGCTCCTTTCAGATAAATATTTGCTTTTTTTTTCATTTCCACGTATTTAAATAGCATGAGGACAGCTACCAATTCAGAAAGTGGTGCTGGGTTTCAAACTCAGGGCTTTGTACGGTAGGTTTGCAGGTACTACATTCTCCACCATGGTAAATAAAATAATTTTTATTTATTTATTTTTCTATTTATTGGCTTATATTCATTTTGGAGAGTTATTACATCACCACATATTTTCACTCTATTCGAATCAACTTTATCCCCTATTTTTATTATTTATTTATTTATTTTTGGTCAGTTGAGGGGCTTGAACTCTGGCCTAGGCACTGCCCCTTAGCTCCTAAGCTCAAGGCTAGCACTCTACCACTTGAGCCACAGTGCCACTTCTAGCTTTTTCTATTTAGTGGTGCTGAGTAATCAAACCCAGGGCCTCATTACATGCAAGGCAAGCACTATACCACTGAGCCACCTTCCCAGCCCCCTATGCACTATTTTTAATATCAATGTTTGAAGGCTGTGGCAAATGGAAGTTTTTTTTTTTTTTTTGGTTGGTCACTGGGCTTGAACTCAGGGCCGGGGCACTGTCCCTGAGCTCTTTAGCTCAAGGCTGGTGCTGTACCACTTGAGCCACAGTGCAACTTCTGGTTTTCTGGTGGTTAATTGGCGATTAGAGTCTCACAGATTTTCCTGTCTGGGCTCTCTTTTAACCATGATTCTTAGATCTCAACCTCCTGAGTAGCTAGAATTACAGGCATGAGCCACTGTGCCTGGCTGGCAAATGGAAGTTTGGAGTAAATGATATGATAAAAATTTTTGACTTTTCTTTCTTGTTTCATTTTGTTTATTGCATTAATAATCATAGTTGGTTTATAAGTCCCTTATATACAATGCTTTAGTATTGGCATGCAGTCCCTAATATACATAGAAAAAGGAAGAGTCACATATGTATGTATGTGTGTGCATTCATACATATGTATTTTTGAGACAGTGCTACTGTGTAGCTCAGACTAGTCTCAGACTTGTGATCCTCTGTTTCAGCCTCCCATGTAACTAGTATTATGGGCATGAACCATTTGCCTTCTGTAACATACCAGCATTCGACAAATTGAAATAGAAGTCCATTAGTCTCTCTTGCACTTTCAATGGAACTTTTACCTACTTACATCTGATTTTATGTTCTCATGAATTAGTCATTTTGAAACTATTGCTGTCTTCTAACAGCACATTTACATTATCAACAAGCCCTGGTTAAACCTGTAAAGTACTGGGAAACTGACAGATTTATAGTAGCCGATGTAAAGTTTTCCAAAATGCTTGAAACCTCACACTCATTTACTTTGTTCAGTTTGAAAGAAAATGTCTGTAAATAACCTAGTCAGTATAACTAGTGTTTTTTTTTTTTTTTTTGGGTCTGGTCGTGGGCCTGAACTCTGGGCCTGGGTGCTGTCCCTCCACTCTTCAAGGCTAGCGCTCTACCACTTGAGCCATAGCGCCACTTCCGGCTTTTTTCTTTTTGGTTATGTGGTGCTGGGGAATCGAACCCAGGGCCTCCAGCATGCAAGGCAAGTGGTCTACCACTGAGCCACCTTCCCAGCTCTCAGAATAACTCGTTTATGAATTGTTCTTTCCTATCTATAGAAAATGACACTCCATGAAGGAACAGCTTGGGCAAATCACTTACACAAGTGATTTGCTTTCTTCCCCTCTGTGTGTGCATGGGTGCATAAATGTATACTAAGGCCTAGGCTAAGTTCACTCAAGGCTAGCACTCTGCCACTTAAACCACGTCTCCACTTCCAGTTTTTGGTGGTACATTGGAAATAGGAATCTCACAGACTTTCCTGCCCAGGTTGACTTTGAACCATGATCCTCAGATCTCTGAGTAGCTAGGATGATATGAGCTACCAACACCATGCTCACAAGTGCTTTTCTTCTAGATAGCAACTGTATTCTGTGCATTCTGTTTTTTTTTTTTTTTTGCCGGTCATGGGGCCTGAACTCTGGGTCTGGGCACTGCCCATCAGCTCTTCAGCTCAAGGCTAGCGTTCTACCACTGGAGTCACAGTGCCACTTCTGGCTTTTTCTGTTTATGTGGTGCTGAGTAATCAAAACCAGGGCCTCATGCTTGCAAGGCATCATGCACTCTACCGCTGGGCCACCTTCCCAGCCCCTAGTGTGCATTCTGTGCTGTGCCAAAAGATCATCCAAAAGACCTGTGCTCAAGGGTCAAGATTTAATGAAAGTAGCAATTCTTACTGGTTGCCTCCTTAATGAAGGAGATTGGCTTTTAAAACTGCTATAATGTATGGAGGTGGTGACTTGGGTTCATTTGCTGCCATTGCCTTGATTATTGCTGAGGCGCTAGTAATTCCCCTCAATTGCTTTTGCACCATCAGTGCTAATGGCAGCAAGTGAAAAGACAAACACTGTCCTTTGTTTATTCTAAAAATAGTCCTGACCTCTGAAAAGGTCTTGAGGACTCTCATCACTCTTTGAGAGTAAGTCTGTACTGTCCCTTTGCCAGTGGAGTGAACAGAGGGTGGAAACATTGTCGTGGTTCGTGGTCAGACAGGAGGCCGTTATGCCAGGTATTCATTCAGCATTCATCTTAAGTTTCCTGAACACCATCTTCCCACATCGCTGTCCATGTCAGATTTGTACTGCTTGTCATTCAGCATAGCGCCTTTTCTGGTCTTCTGAGCAGGCCGCGATTGCTTTACACACACACACACACACACACACACGTTTGCATCTACAGCTCCTCCCCTCCGTTTTTTGGGCACCCCCTTAATTATCTAAGTACCCACATGAATTATTGTTTGCTTTTGTAATCTCCATGTTGCCCCAAAGGGAAAACGTGGTGTAAATATTTGTGTCAGTGTCCTGCGATCAAAACTGAAAGCGAAGTAAAGCTAGCGTGCGTCGGCGCCGCTCCCTGATTGCCAGTCCTGGAAGGAGCTCAAGTAGCCAACGTGGTCTTGACTGCTGCTGTTTTGTGACCCATTCACTGCGTCCCCAGCACACGACAAGTTCTCCGGTCGGAGCCGGGAGTTCCGAGCGGCCGGGGACGGCGTGTCCCAGCGGTGTGTGTTTGTACATTGTTCAAACCTGGCGAGCCAGCGCTGGAAGCCCGCGGGCGGGGCGGGGCGGGGCGGGGCGGGGTGCGAGCGCGCCTCGCGCGCCCCGCGTCGGGCTCGAGCTCGGGCTGCGGCCGGCCGAGCGCCCTGCCCATTTAAGGAGGCGGGCCGTACCATCCGAACTTTCTCGACGGGGGGAGCATCCGGAGAACTCGGACAACTTCGAACTAGCCCCAAGGCGGTATTCCTTTTCCCGGGCGCTGCACGGCGGACGCTTGAGGCTGCTGGGTGCCAGCCCGGGCGCCGGTGGGCTTGGAGCCAGGCCCCCTTGGCTTGGTCTTCCTAGAAATTGCCCCGGGGGCGCCTCTGGCTAGCTCCGAGTCCGGACGCCGAGTTCCCCGGCTCGTCCGTAGTGCAGCTCTCCTGCAAGCCCCAGTGCCCGGATGTCCATCAGGATTAGTGCGAACCAATAGCCGGGAGGCCGAGGCTGCGCGGAGGACGCCCGGTCCCGAGCTGGCAGTCCGGGTATTCGCGAGTCGCACCGGGCGCCGTCCCCGCCCGGCTCCGGCAAATGGTGAGGGCGACGCTGGCCTCTGCGCCCGCGGGTCGGAGGCTCTGATGGACCGGAGATATCTCGCACTATAAACTGAATGATGGCAGCCTACTCGAGGTAAGGCAGGCACGGAGAGAAACTTTTGAGATCGGTTCGTGGCCGGGGGACTTGCAGGGTGCGGGCGGTGGGGCGCGGGTCGGGGGAGTTGGGGTGCTGGGGAGAAGAGCGGCAGGAAGCAGCTTTGTCATTGCGCGCTCATCACCCCTGACGCTGTGGCTCCTAACCGAATGGCAGGTAGGAAACAGTTTGGCGCACAAGCCCGGTGCAGAGAGGGACTGACTTTTAAAAGTTAAGGTTCCAGTGAAGATCTTTTTTTCTTCTTCCTTAAAACAACCACCACCTTGTTTATTAAGTTGATTTCACTTGGCCTGCCTGTGCCCCAGTTTTCCTGTATGCATGCACCCCACTTCTGTGATTCTCTTGATTGCTTGCTGGTGTCCTGGGCGGAATTGGGCGAGCACAATGAGTGTCGAAAATATAACTGGTCTAGGGTAGGGCGGGTGAGAATTTTCCTGCTAGAATGAAGGAATCCACATGAAAAGGCACAGCTTGTGTGAATCTGCTGAGTAGGCAAAGACCTGGAATGCACCGAGGTCGGTGAAGGGGAGAGACCGTACTGTAATGAGCCGCAGTTGCTGTCAGGAGCGCTGGTGTCAGATCCGACGCTTCGGCTTCCCAGGACTGGGTTTGCAAATGAGCGTTTAAAAAGGAGAGGTGCAGGGCTTTTGGGAGAGGTAGAAGATTCAGAGCGTCCAGAGGGATTTCATTTTCGTTGGGGCTGAGGGAAAGCTGAGGCGTGGTGTATGCATTCTCCTAAACCTTTACTAGAAAGCAGTGTGTCCTTAACGGGGTTTACAATAATAGGGAGGCTCTTAAATAATATTTGATGCAAGATATCGATCTGGGGGAACATTTCAGAAGGCTGAACAGATCTCCGCATATTCAGATCATAGTGAAAAATAGCTGTGTAAAAGTTGAAGTTTTGGTGGGTATGACTTGGAAAAAATTTTCCTAAGGAATAGAACTTTCTAGGAAGGAAAGAATTTCTATTACATAGATAACCTCCAGAGTGCTCCTTGCTTTTTATATTTAATCCTCTCAACTTAGTGGTTTATCCTCCGTTTTCGTTTTATTGATTATTTTAAGAAAAGCTTTCCAAGCCTGGGGCCCAAGAGTAGAACCAGAATGAGAAACAAAAGTTGCGTTTTTACTTTGGCTAAACTCTAGGTTTAGTTAGTGTTGTGATCATTATTGATCATTATTTTGTATGGCACCAAAAATTAAAACCACCTATGGGTTTACAATCTCATTACAGTTACATTTACTATTTCTATGAAGCTAAGGAGTTACTTTTTTTACGTGGATAGTATTTTACATGAATATAATATTTTAAATTATGTTTATAATTTTATATAACTTATATTATGTTTTACATGAATAATAAAAATAATACTGTATCCTTAATTGGTCTTTTAAACCAATTTGATAGTTATGTTCCTATATAATTTACTCGCTTTGTATTCTGCTATGTTTTACGGAATGTATTTCAAAAGGTTCTCTGCAGAGTGCCATTATGTTCCAGGGGCCCCTAGCATAAAACCTTAGATTAAGTTTCTTTGATTTAAAAAATTAAGTGGCATCACAGACAGAGCACAGTAATTTAGCACTGAGATTTGAACCCAGGTTTAGATGAGTCCAATGCTGAAGCATCCCCTTCCTCCCCCAGTCATTTGGACATTTATAACATCATCCACAGGCCTAGATTTATTACATTTCACTTAAAAAAAAAAACTCCTGGATTTATTGAATTTCGAGTCTCACCTGCAAATTGCCTTGGCAGGGTTGGAACAAATAATGTGGAGAGTCAAATGTTAAGGCTAGGACAGAAGATAAAAGTAAAAAGAGATGAGTAATAACTTGAACACAAGGTTAAACTGCTTTAATTGGATTACCTCTTTGACTAGTCTTAGTCACCTAAATAGATAAGTGCTTTTTACTGTCTACCTTTGTTAGTCCAGGAAACTGAGGCCCTGCCAGGGAGTTTTTTGGCCTGAGGTCACACAATGGAGCCTGCTGGACTGGAGCTTCTCTGATGTACTTCATAGCTGTCTTAGTAGACTGCTGTCTCTTCAATGCCAGGGTGAACTGTTGAAAGGGAGCTGCAGAGGCTCAGGGTAAGGGATTTCTGCTCAAACTGGTTTGCAGCAAGATGTCATAATCTGTTATGTGTGTGGTGGCTCTTCGTGCTAGCAACTGAAACTGGAGGCCTGAACCTATTTCTGACACTCAGCTTGGCCTTCAAACCTGCCCTGGGGCTAGAAATAATGCCCCTAGGTCACCCTGGAGTGATTTCAGCACCTGCCCGTTGGGAGTGTATCTCTCTCGTTAAAATCCTTAAGTTGTGTTTTGGAATGTGGAGCAAGCTGGTTCTGACCTTGTGCCTTGTGAGAGAGTAGATAATCTCTGAGATCCAGAGAGCGAATGTGGAAAAGACTCAAGATATTTTTGGATTTCAGGGAAACCCCAAAGCTGGGCCAAGTTTCCAGGAGTGGAGAAACTGAAACATTGCAGTTTGTGGCATATAATCTTGAGTGGTAAACATCTTGACCATGTTGCCCCATATACTATTTGCCCTTGAGACAATTATTTTGGATTTTTCAGACTCATTAGACTTAGCGATTCATAGATCATTGTTTAACAAGTAGTTTCATTGTGCATTGAAATTATTTGTAGTGAGAACTTGGAAATTTTACAGCAGTGAAGGTGAATATACAAACTAAGCCATAGAAGTTTTCTCTAAACGCTATTGCTGTATATAGGGCATTGGCATTATTGATTTGATACTTGGGGTAGAAGATGGCTAATTTTTCACTTATGAATTGGCATATTTCCTTTTCTATAGCTGGCTCTTAAGGGCAAAATATTACTTCTTATTTTTAGTGTTCCTTAGTTACTTTGAAGGAAGGGGAACTAAGTATTTTCTTGGCTTATAAAATTGAGGTTACATATTCATCTAAAACAAAATTAGTAAATTACCTTTGTTTTACTTTTATGGCTGATCATTTAGCAATGAAAGGCACTTGTTTAATACAATGTGAAGTTCCTACTCTTTTTAAAAATAAGCTTTTTTTTTTTACTTTTTGATCAGTATTTTGAAAACAAGTAACATTTGGTTTATTAATTATTGGAGTTCAGGAGAGAGCTGGTCACCTAAAAATATAAAATTATTTATAGAGGCTTCTGTACTGTACCTCTGCTCTCAAAGGGTGGGTTTTGGAATCTGTAGCACATATTGAGTATACTTCCTTCAGGGAATTGTAAACAAATTTACTTTTTTTTCACCAAAAACAGTGAAATAGTCACAGAGCAAAGATTAGTTTCTAAAATCTGGAAACTGTTCTTTATATAAGTCTGTAAATCAGCACTTCCTTTTTTTTTTTAAATTAGTAAGCCAAACAGTTTATAGATCTTTTTCTATGTGGATTAGCTTTCTTTATATGGAGGATGATTGTTGATGGATAAAATGAAGAGAAGGGCTTAGTTTGAATTTCCAACTTCTTTAACTCAGTCATTGAAGTAGTCCCTGAACTCTAGAAAGGAATATATACCTACCTGGAGGTATTGCGAGGGATTAACTAGTTTTGAAAAGCACCTTGTGCTATCTGAGAAGCCCTGGGCACCCTCTTCCTACCGGGAAGCATGCCTGGATGGATGGCCCAGAGAGAACTGAACTTCCTTCTTTGGGAGAGTTTTGTCTGTGTTGTCTGAACTCACATCCCAAAAGATAGCCCTTACAGACTAACTGCAAAAGGAAATTAGGTACCCGTCTAGGCAACTCTCCCACAGTTTTTTAATTTTGAAGTTAAAAATGCAAAAAGCCAATCAAAAAAGTACAGTCAGATTGTTCCTGGTTCTGGTGAGAGAAATGTTATCATTGCAAAAAAGGACTACAGCGAACTGGTATGAAACCAGTTTGCCCTGCCCAGTGCCTCTACCTCTGACTTACACAGCTCCCTATTACCTGGGCAGCGGTAACAGGTATGAATACAAAGCAGCTCTGATTAAATATGAGTTCAAGGGAGAAGTTTTGAGTGGGAAATATGCATGAGGATTTTGACCCCTGGAATGACCTCATTTTCTCCTATGAAACCATTGTAAACAATGACCCTGACAGAACCGATAGGAACAGTTTTTTTGTTTTGTTTTTTGTTTTTGTTTTTGTCAGCTGTGGGGCTTGAGCTCTGGGCCTGGGCACTGTTCCTCAGCTCTTCAGCTCAAGGAGAGCACTCTACCACTTGAACCACATCCCCACTTCCAGTTTTTCTGAGTGGTTTATTGGGGATAAGAGTCTCATGGACTTTGCTGCACAGGCTGGCTTTGAACCACAACTCTCAGATCTCAGCCTCCTGAGTAGCTAGGATTACAAACATGAGCCACCAACACTCGGCACAAACAGGTCTTTTTTAAGTGTATGCTTTCTAGTTCTTCCTGAGAACTGCAGCTGAGCTCTTGACACATGGTCTACAGATGGAAGAATGGGGAGTCATTTGTTCTTAAAGTCAACTGGTTTATGTGATGTTGTCTCTTAAGAGATTTAGAGATTCTATACCATATCATGAGATAGGAGCTAGACTTACACCGTCTTGAGAGTGAGACTTAATGATTTTTTTTTTCTGGTACTCTCCTGGGCTTGAACTCAAGGCTTTGGGTGCTGTGCCTGAAGTTTTTTTTTTTTTTTTTCTTCTGAAGGCTAGCATTCTACCACTTGTGCCACAGCTCCACTTATGGCTTTTTTTTTTTTTTTGTAGCTTATTGGTGATAAGGGTCTCTGTAGACTTTTCTGTCTAGGCTGGCTTCGAGCTATGATTCTCAGATCTCAGCCTCCTGAATTGCTAGGAGTATAGCAGCACCCAGCTATGAATGCTTTTTTTTTTTTTTTTGTGCCAGTTCTGGGGCTTGAACTCAGGCCCTGGGTGCTGTCCCTGAGCCTCTCTCTGCTCAAGGCTAGCACTCTACCACTTGGTCCACAGTGCCACTTCCAGCCTTTTCTGAGTAGT